TATTTGTGTCTGTGCTTTATTGAATATACTAAAGCATTTGATAAATCAAATATATATATATACTGGTATCAAGAAGCAGCTATAAGGACTGACAATGAAGTTGGAACTCATCAAAACATTAAACAAGGCGTTAGACAGGGATGTGTACTAACACCCGATGTTTCAATTCGTACAGTGAAATAATAATTAGATTTGTGCTAAAGGGAAGCGGGAAAAGGAAAACAAGAAGTGGGAGGGGGAAGTGAGAATAGGAAATGTGGTTTGGATCATAAGTAGTTCCCCGCTGAACTGCAAAAACAGGAAAAGTATAGAAAAGTCAGGGTTTTTTTGTGCAGGAGCCATGAAATAGGATGATAACCCAGGCAGAGGATGTGTGAATAATGAGTTCATAACAACAACAACAACAACAACAACAACAACATTTGACTACATAAGCAACGCCTAGTTAGACCACCTGCACGAAATACAAGTTCTATCTTGAATCAATCAAATGAATACAACCATCATATTCAACATCTGTTTTTTCTCCTGAATACAAAACTAACTGCCTCACAGATAACATTACATTAACCAACAACATCGTGTTCGAACAGACCATGTGCTACTCACCCCAGCTAGCAAGGAAATAGGATAATGTCATACGTTCAGAAAAAAATTACATCAGTGGTGGCAAAACTCGAAACATTTTAACGTGTACAGGTAAGTTTCAACGTACCACAAGATCAGTAAATCGCCTCCAACGACTTGCAGTCAAACTATCTCCAAACGAGGAGGGGCAAAAGAAATCTAGGTCTAACACACAGTTTAACTACTGGAGAAAAAATAGATCAAATACTGTCTAACTATCCAAAAGTACCACCGCCATAATTAGTTAAGACAATTCATCCATCTTCGCCAGTCGCCTTAACCCACGCTTTTAAGCCCATGTGTGGTGCCGCCAACGTTGGGTGGGATCTTCTGTCCCTGGGCGACCGGCGGGATCTGAATCCGGAAGCCTAGAGATTCTTCCAGTGTTGCCACTTTTCTTTGACAAAAAAGATCCAAAACGGGGTAAAAAAATATCTAAAAAGATCTAAATTTGCGTGGAAAATATTTTTAAAAAATATCCAAATGAAAAGAGTCACAAATTACAAAACTATTGAAATGACTTACCCTATAGACACATGTCCTCATCTTCACTGATGTCTGCTTCACAAGATCCACAGGATAAACTTAGCTTGGATGATGAAGTTGAAGCTTCAGATCCCAAATTACTCTGGTATGCTTTAGCTGTTCCTATTTCTTTTAATACACAATCAGGGAGCTGATAAGTGGAACAGCATTTTCCTACTCTCATCAGGTCAAATTTTATTGTCAAGATAGCATTTAAGAGGTCTAATTTCATCCTGTTTCTTAGGTTAGATTTGATGTAATTCATAGCACTGAAAACTCTTTCTACGTCAGCATTTGAGTGGGGTAGTACCATGGCAGACATGGCACATTCAAAGAGTTTACATAATGGACTGTTTGATATTCTGCTTCCGCGACACTATTGTCAGTAGCCCCTAAAAATTTCATAACTTTACAATATTTATGTATGTCCTTTACTGGCTGAAGTATGTTGCTCACAGAAAAGAGTGAAATATGTTTCAATACATCTAGATTTTCAGGAAGTCTCTGCTTTAGTTGCTTGAACAATGAGATAATGAAAACTTGACAGCGTTTTCTTAAGTTGTTCTCTTCATTCTCTGTTAACAGTCCTTTTGTTTTTAAATCATCAATTTTTGATTCAATTTGATATCCAAGGTATGGCTTAGGAGCCAAATAGCTCTCTATAGTGCAAGTGAGCAAATCAACTTTTGAAGTTGGCAACACCAGTCTTTTACCAACTGAGTAAAATAGCAAAGTGAGATCGTCAAGTAATTTAACTTTATCAACATGTTTGGATTCGAACAGTTTATTAACTTTTTGCACTTCCATTAGAATAGGTTGTAAAAAGAGAAGGAATGCCAAATTTTTTTCATCACTGTACATTCCATATAGTATCTCAGCTGTGTAGCACTTTTCACTTTGTCTTGTTATTTCAAAGTGTGTCTTTAACTCCAACCATTGGTTCACAATTCTTTCAACAGCTGGTTGTATTGATAACCACCTGGTTTTGCAATCTGACAGAATTTTCAGTGGTGTGGAACCATTATTTAAGGCTGAATACAATGCATTGTATTGCTGTTGTCTGACAAATGATTTTGAAAACCAGTTATGTGTTTCAGCAATAAGGTATTCCAAATTCCTTGGTAAACATTCAGATGAAGCATGTGATAATGCTAGCTGCAATGAATGACACATACATTTTATAAGTATTAACGATGGGATAGCTTCCTTCAACTTGGCATAAACGCCATTGTTTATGCCAACCATCACTGAGGCATTATCGGTACCAATTGCAACCAAATTTGTCAAGTCTAACTGTTTGCTGATTAAAAGGTTCTTCAGTTCTTGAACTATACTTTCTGCATCACACTTTTCCAATTGAACTAGTCCAAGATATGTAGAAACTACTTTGTCTGTATTGTTGCTGTAATATATAATACACACACCAAGCACTTTCAGTACCGAAATATCATTTGATTCGTCTAATAATAAACTATATTTATTTGTAGAAATATCACTGATCAAATCTTTTTCGAAGTGAGAAAATAAAGTATTTCTTATAATATGTGTACACTTGCTGCGATGCATTTTCACATGATCCATAACTTTACTGTCAGAAATTGTGTTTTTAAACAAATCAATCAAATGGTCACAGTTTGAAATTGCACAATGGCAACTTAAAAACATTGCGACCGACCCTTCAACTTTTGATGACTCATTTATCAGTGTAGTTCTGAAAACAGATGTCAGCGGTGTAATATCTTTAAATGGAACTGCAGTTTTATGGTTGTTAGTCTCTGCATGCTTCTTTAAGTCTTGTATTTTCGCTTTAATTTCACACTTGCAGTACTTACAACGAGCCTTGGTTATATCCCCAGGAACTGCTATCACCCAGTCTTTAATTTTGTCATCATGCAACCACTCTTTACGAAATTTTTGCTCATACTTTACTTTTGGTATGTTGAAGTTTTTTTCAAAATGAAAGCCACACAAGAAGGTGAGCAATTATTTTTTTAAAATCACATGAAAAAGAAACACAGAGTCAGAATCACAGCTATACTTCACAACACAGTGAGAATACGGTTGAAACAAAGTTAGTATGATTTACGCGCAATTTCGATTAATCAGCACCGGGGTTGTCAGATATTTGAGTGTTGACCCCAGTGAGAGTTCAAAGTTTAAGTAATGGCAGTTGCCACAATGTACGTGCCAGACCAAAACAAAAATATTTTAGTAAATATTTTACTCAATAATTATTAAAATGACACTAAAAGAAAAAAAAATCTATAAAATATCTAACTCCATGTGAAAAGAATCTAGAAAAATATTTAGTATCTAAACGTCAAAAACAGGATCTAAACGCAATGAAAAAGATCTAAATTTGGATACAAAAGATCCAAAGTGGCAACACTGGATTCTTCTCGTGCTTGACAACCCCTTTTATAACCTTCTGATCCCTGAATTTTGGAGATATTAGTTCGCGTGCAGCCAAATCAAAATAAAAAACAGCTCTTGGCCCACCGACTATAAATCCAAACATGGTATGCCAGAAATATCGGTTGGTATTCAACCTGCGATATGCAGACGACATCGTTTTAATCGTTGAAAATGAAGCACAACTGCCAGAGATGGTGCATATAATTATAACGGAAAGTGAGAGCAAGGGTCTTGGTTTTTTAACAGCAGAAAAACAGAGGTAATGATAATTAATTAGAAAACTGATCCTCTAAAATGCAACATCAAAGTAAATGGGACAAACTTCGAGCAAGCTGATATGTTTAAGTACTAGGGTACCCTAATAAATTCAGATGAAAGAGGAAATAAAGAAATTAAATATAAAATAGCTCAAGGAAAGGCAGCATTTTACAAAGTGAAGAATATTTTAGGTAATCTTTCTTTGTCAGTTAAGACGAGCATAGAAAACCAACAAAAAAAAAAAAAAAAAAAAAATCTTATTTCGATATATGGAAGTGAATCATGGACAGTTAGTAAATTAGTAAACAATTATTTGCAAGCTGCAAAAATTTGGTTTCATAAACGAAGGATGAGAATACCGTGGACTTATCAAAAAAAGTAATGCGGACTCGTTAAAGAAACTGACTCATGAACTGAACTGATTGTCCAAATCAGAAATAGAAAATCTACATTCTTTGGTCATATGATGAGAAAGAGAAAACTGAAGTATATCTTGACAGTAGGAAAGTTGGAGGGGAGGAAAGGCAGCGAGAGACCTGGATAAAAGATGCTTGACAGTTTTGACATCAAGGCATGGAGGATCATCTGTGACGGAGTTGACTGAAAGAACATGAGACAGAAGATTAAGCATAGACGTGACTGGAACGCCACACAGAATGGACTTTAAGAATAATTGGAAACTAACTGTCCTATCTGTGTACATTTATCACTGACAAACCCACTTTTGTTTATTTAAATTATAATTGACTGACGCACCAACAGACTCGCCGGTTCTATTAAAATTTATGATAAAATAACGTTCTGCAGTTTATTTAAATTTAAAATTGAAAGAAGCACAGTCTTTTCTATTCAATGTAACCAGATGCGATGTAGAGCATTTTGTCAATGGAATATTATCCTCAGAAAGTAATTGGCTAAGCATTTACTTCAGTGGTTCTAAAGTTTTCACAGACTGTGAACCTAAACAAAACAAAGATATATATATATATATATATATATATATATATATATATATATATATATATATATATATATATATATATATATATATATAACTTGTTCTTCATAGGACATCGCAAACCAACTCTAGCATTCATTGACTGTTGTGTGGTTCTACTAGGTAATTTTAGGTTAATTTGATATTTAAAACAGAAGATTGAAACGTTGAACACGTCATGAAGATAGACATTTGTCACCATGGTGTGGATAACCAAAAAGATGGTACACGAGAAGTTCTTCCTTCTTCGGACAAATCATCAGAAAACAATCATCCACATTCAGAAACTGCCACATTTAACAGGAAACTCTGCTTTAAGATTTTTCGGAATTTCGTGCTCAGATTTCTACGCGGATTCGCAAACGGGACTTTACTTCATCTAGGGGTTAAAATTGTGGCTGCACTGTTACGAAATCCTGTCAGGAAAAAGTATGTACTTCAAAAGTGTCTGTATTGTTTTTGTAATTACAGTTATACTCATTTTCTGTTACCATCATCCTATTCGTTATCTTGTTGGGTCTTTTGTACATTATTTAAGATTTATGTGTGGATTTACAAACTAAATGGTAGGCGTATTGTGCATATAGGGTTAGACATTTGTTTTATAGACAATGAGCACTCTTTGGGTAATGTAGTCAGCATCACTCCGACGGCTTTTACTTCCCATGACTATACCTGGTACACACTTAAGGCTGTGTCAGCCTTCAAGGCAATGTCATTTTTGAAAAATGTCCGGCGTCGTCATTACCCGAACCCACGATCTTGCGATCGCAGGCGAGCATCTAGCCGTTACATCACGATAGCTCCTACAGTCGTCTATAGGTGTCAACTATTTGACTCATTCAGGTACAACGTTATTTTGCAGTTTCCACTACTGCGGATAATATGTGTGTGTGTTTGTGCGTGAGTGTGTGTATGTGAGTGTGTGTGTGTGTGTGTGTAATTGTGCCGTCATCACAAAGGGGGTAGGATGCAATGTATTGACTGCAAACTATGGGACTATTGCGTGATGTTGCTTCCATATCTTCCGTGGTTTGACTTTTTCAGTAAACCACGAGAAAGGTCTTCTTGTTGTTTTCTATAAACCGTCAACTTTGGTCAAAGTGAAGAATTACATTGTGAAACCATTTCACTAATCACAGAACCATACTGGATATAACTTCTGCTTCTTCTTCTTGACGTTCGCCGGTTGTAAGCTCCAGAGAAAAGTTTTGGCTGTTCGTCCGCTTCTAGACTTTGGTCTTGTTCCAGAACTTGAGTTTTGCAGCGCACATTCGGGTTGCTAATTTGGCTTGTTAATATGCAGAAAGTTGGTGGCTCGACTCTCAAGAAGATGCACTCTGGCTTCGAAGGAAACACACCTAATTCGTCGCCTTTTTCGATGTGCAAGTCGGCGTCTGTGGCTTAAACGTTGCGAACGGGCTTCGTAATGCCGGTGTACCGGATTAGATCCTAGCGGCAGGTCATTTGGCAGCAGACTAGCTTGTGTTGTTTTCGACAGTAGTATCAAGAGCCGACCGTTGAAATAATAATGGCCAACTACTCACCGTAAGTTTCCCTAGAAACATCGTAACAGCCGAAAAAATGATGTGGTTGATTCAGGTTTGTAAAAGACATTCAGCGGGTTTATTCTGCAACCCCTCCCCCCCCCCCCTCTCCCCCTTCCTTAATTCAAAATGGGGCCCCAGAACCAATACTGTGAGTCTAAAGTAACAATTTTTTGGTAAGGAAAGAGTCTAATATTTATGAAACATTTTCGTGTCCACAGAAATATCAAAATCTGGCAATGTATTTTCACCAAGGACACTGTCAGGATAGCGTTGTTTTGTGCCCTGTACCCTAGTATCTATCATCTTTTGGTTGAGATTCTCAGCGCTTTACAGAAACAACAGGTAACCTCCTTATCTGAAGATTTCCCCGTATTTTCTTCTTTCTGTAATAACAATTTCCCTGTGTTCCGAGGTCCCATTATGGGTATGCGGGTAAGGGGAGTAAACCGCTCCCCCCCCCCCCCCTCCTCCAGAAGCATGGTATAAAAGTCCGTTAATTATGGTTTCCTTTGAAGTCGGAGGTCATTTTTCCGAAAGGCGATTAGCCAGCAGTCTCCATAAAAACATGCGAGATCTTTAAAACGAATGAGCATACAAAACTCAAATGCTGGAGTAAAACCAAAGTCCAGATGCGGACGAACAACAAAAACTTTCCAGGGAGTTTCAGGCCGGTAAACGCAAATGAGAAGAAGAAAGGTAGTTCGCTGTCGATAGAAGCATCAGTCACGATACGTTAGCAGATGCAGGCGTATAAATACATTGTACACTGGTACTTATGTGGCAACCGGCCTCAGCCATATTCTGAATAATCAGATAACAATGCAGACTACTTTCAGAGAGGATCAACGAAAATCCTTTCACGTGAAATTTACAGCTCATGGTGTCGTATCATGCACTCAGCTTAGCAGGTGTGCCGCGGAACCATCTACTTCAAATCCATATGTTCGGAAAACAGCAGCCGGAAATAAACAATACTGCAATTCTTTCCATATTCAACCGAACGTCTTCAATAACTTGGGAACTTCAATTCACCACTCCAGATGCTGTGTGGGTTCCAAAGTCCCATTGTCGCAAAAACAAGAATAGACCCACTGCCTCCCCAGCAAACATGTCATAGGAGTCGACTAACTGGAGATTTCCTTCGAAGTCGGAGTGCATCTGTCCGAGCGGCAAAGAACAACTAACAGCATACCAAAAAGCGAGTAAAACAGACGTACACGCAAAACTCAGGCCCTGGCACAAAGCCTAAGTTCTAATGGACGAACAACCAGGACTTTCCGTTGAAGCTTACAGCCAGTGAGTAAAGAAGAAGACTACTCTAGAATCAGTGAAGAACAAACCATTATTTTCATTTTTCTGTTGCATCAAATTTAACCAAATAAAAAAGTTACATTTAATCCACTCTTCTCTAATCCTAGAATGGTTGGATATTTGGAATATCCGGAGGATTAGCCGGACTGTCACTAGCTGTTCTAAAAACATCGACTCGCCAAACTTTAGCATTTTTCACCCTCTCCAGGGCGCTCGGTTCTGGCATATCAACGCTGGTAAGGAAAGGTAATTCAACTTTTTAAAATCTTATTTGTTACTCCAGCGATGTAAAAGGATGATTTTCTTCTTCTTCTTCTTCTTCTTCTTCTTCTTCTTCTTCTTCTTCTTCTTCTTCTTCTTCTTCTTCTTCTTCTTCTTCTTCTTCTTCTTCTTCTTCTTCTTCTTCTTTTTCTTTTTCTTTTTCTTCTTCTTCTTATTCTTCTTATTCTTCTTCTTCTTCTTCTTCTTCTTCTTCTTCTTCTTCTTCTTCTTCTTCTTCTTTTTCTTCTTCTTCTTCTTCTTCTTCTTCTTCTTCTTCTTCTTCTTCTTCTTCTTCTTCTTCTTCTTCTTCTTCTTCTTCTTCTTCTTCTTCTTCTTCTTCTTCTTCTTCTTCTTCTTCTTCTTCTTTGTTCACTAGTTGAGGGTCTGGTGGAAAGTCCTGGTTGTTTATCCACTTGGACTTTGGCTTTGTGACAGAACTAAATGAGTGACTATCCTTTTTACTGGCTTATTTGTGTACAATTGATGGTTCTTTGCCGCTCGGGCAGATGCACTCCGACTCGAAGGAAGCTTCCAATTAGTTCCAGTCTTACGCCATGTTTTTGAGGTAGGCAGTGGGTCTATTCTTGTTTTCCCACAAAGAGGCCCTAAAAACCACACGGGAAAGTACAGAAATTGTACTCATTTAATGTCAGGATACTGTTGTAACTACTACGCAGATCATAATCATTACTTCTGTTGAGGTTAAACGGGTATCTTGGATTCGTTTTGCCGTCCAGACTGACACTTAAAAATCTCACGGGAAAGGGGGAGGGGTGTTGAGCGTTTAGATCGAAGCCCCGATGTGACAAACCGATCGATCGATCGTACTCCTTAAGCGGGAAGACTTGCCCATGGCTTGATAACAGGTGGAGGGGAAGTGTGACAGAGGGAGGCCTAGAGGGATGGTTGATTGTTTGGCATCTTGACATGGATGACAATCTCTAACAAAAGGCTGCAGACAGACAAAAGAATCAACGACACACGCATTGGACAAGACAAGAAAAAAAAGAAGGCAGAGAGGACAGAGCATAAGAAGGCGAGAAAGAGGAAGAGGAGGAAGAGATAAAGAAGAGGAAGAAGAAGAAGAAAAAGAAGACGAAGAAAGAAAGAAAGAAAGAAAGAAAGAAAGAAAGAAAGAAAGAAAGAAAGAAAGAAAGAAAGAAAGAAAGAAAGAAAGAAAGAAAGAAAGAAAGAAAGAAAGAAAGAAAGAAAGAAAGAAAGAAAGAAAGAAAGAAAGAAAGAAAGAAAGAAAGAAAGAAAGAAAGAAAGAAAGAAAGAAAGAAAGAAAGAAAGAAAGAAAGAAAGAAAGAAAGAAAGAAAGAAGTAGAGGAAGTAACGACGAAGAAAGAAGAGGAAGTCTAAAGAAGAAAGATTAGGCGGAGAAGAAGGAGTAGAAGGAGGAGGGAAAAAAAGCAGAGAACGAGAAGAAGAAAAGGATGCGGAAGCGGAGAAAGTCGACGAGGTGGAGAAAGAGACAGAAAAGAATGATTGAAAAGGTGGTGAAGAAGAAGGAGAGGGAGATAAGAAAGAAGAATATTATACTGTCAGTTTCAATTCTGTATTTCAGGTATTTTGCCGGCTGTGCCTTTCTTTGAAGTGGGTGTGTTCTGCGCATGCGGGAGTCTGCTGGCCTACTGCGTATCCTCGGCACCAAGTTACATGAATCAAAGTTATTATCGGACTCTTTTGAAGTGGATGCGTGATTACAGCCCTGAGAAATTTCATCGTTTATTCGTGTAAATATTGTCTACTCCAAAGCATCAGTTCTCAAAATGTTTTTTGCCGCGGTACCCTTGTCGGGTTATATTTTTCTTGCGGCACAGCTACCCTTAAAGAATGTTTAGGAAAAAAAATGGGGAAAAAACAGTGCAAATGTAATGTTCATTTGTCTTTAATGCGATGATCGAAACTGTTTGGATGAATTTTTCGTTTTTGCCGCGGTACACAGTTTGAGAACCACTGCTCTACAATTCACATATCAAAGTAAACGGGACCAGCGGCGCCATTTTTCTGACATTTACGAATCTCAGTCTGAACGCGTACACCGGCTGTAAAC